GATGCAGCCCAGAATGGGTTTGGCCTTCTGGCATGCAGCTGAACCCTGCCTGCTCATGTCCAGCTTCTCCTCCACCAGCACCCCAAAGTCCCTTTCCTCAGGGCTGCTTTCTAATACCTCACCCCCTGGTCTGTGCTGATGGTGAGGATTGTTCCGGCCCAGGTGCAGAACCTTGCATTTGCTCTTGTTGAACCTCATGAGGTTCACCTGGGCCCACCTCTCCAGCCTGTCCAGGTCCTTTTGGATGACATCCCATCCCTCTGGTGTATGGACACCACCACACAGCTTGGTATCGTCTGCAAACTTGCTGATGGTCTTGGAGCCTTCTCTTCTCCAGGCTGAACCCCCCCCAATTTTCTCAGCCCCCCCTCCCAGCAGAGGGGCTCCAGCCCTCTGATCATTCCCACAGGTTAATCCCTGTTGGGAGGACCCTCTGCACACTCACCCCAGCAATGTAGCTGCCCGTGGCTCGGATACAGCTCACGGCGACGCCGATCCCACCAGCAGATTTGGAGATGAGAGCACACTGCTTGAGAGTGTCATAGATGCCCTCGATGCTGTCATCCTTCATGCACAGCAGGAAACAGCTGAAGAAAACAAATAGCTTTAGTGTACGAAGATTAAAACAACAAAAAAAGGCAAGGAGTATTTCACCAGGGCTGCAGGAAAACAAGGGTAAAAGCTGAATCTTTAACGTGCTCCACAAAGCAAATAAATGAAGGAAACCCACTGGTTGTGAAGCGGAATAAAGGCTGGTTTTAGAAAACATCACAAACAACAGTTGTATTATTGATACCTGTCTTAGCAAAGCAAAACACATTTAAAATCGTGTCAATTACGCTTGTTACTTCTAGCATATTTTAGAAAACTTACCAGGATTCATTTTTTCATCTACAGAAGACTGTGTGCATATAAGTAACTTTTAAATAAAATATAGCCATGCAAACATTTCCATTAGCTGTAGGTGATAACAGAAACCTATTTTTTCCCCCAAAGACTGCACTGGAGGGAAAGTTAAATTTCATAGAATAGAATTGGTTCGAGTTGGAAGGGACCTTAAAGATCATCGAGTTCCAACCCCCCTGCCATGGGCAGGGACACCTCCCACCAGAGCAGGTTGCTCAAAGATCAACAGCAATTCCAAATATTCTGCCCAGTCACTGCCTGCGGCTGAGAACGTGAGGATGGAGCCATTCCTTCCCTTCTTCTTATGTTTTATGTTTTAATTCTGCTGCCTTTAAACTGAGTCTCCTATCTTTTATGTTCTACAAAAAAAAAATGAATTCCTGGTCTTCTCCTTCATTTGATACATATATTTGAGACAAATAGGTATCAAAGTGTATATCAGAATCAGAATCGTAGTGGTTGGAAGGGACCTCAGAGATCATCGAGTCCAACCATTTGACAGCAGCTTCTCAAACTTCACCAAACATTCACAAAAAACACAGCTACTGTTTTCAGAAGTTGTGAAATGATTTCATTGGAACAGATCTCATCTCCCAGACTTTCTCTTTGTCCAGTTGTGCATTAAATGAACTCGAAAGGCAGAGGCACCTGGAGAGCTGAGGGCGGTTGGTGCCGGCGTTGAAGAGCGTGGGGGAGGCGTGGGTGAACCACCGCTCGGACAGGAGATTGTAGGTTTCGATGGCAGCGTCGATGTCGTTCTTGTGGATCCCCACCGACACCCTCATCAGCATGTGCTGGGGACGCTCAGCAACTACACACAAAAAGCAAAACAATGTCCATGTGATGGTTAGGACTAAGCACAGACAGATGCAGAGGTCACAGCAGTGAGCTACCAACAACGTGAAGTTGACAAGTCACAGCTTTCATCGACCCACAGAATAATTCACAGAACGACATCGGGTTGGAAGGAAGCTCTGGAGATCATCCAGTCCAAGCCCCCTGCCAGAGCAGGGCCACCCAGAGGAGGTCACACAGGAACGTGTCCAGGTGGGGTTTGAAGGTCTCCAGAGAAGGAGACTCCAC